TGTCTGTCTGTCTGTCTGTCTCTCTCTCTCTCTCTCTCTCTCTCTCTCTCTCTCTCTTCTCTCTCTCTCTCTCTCTCTCTCTCTCTCTCTCTCTCTCTCTCTCTCGCTCTCTCTCTCTCTCTCCTCTCTCTCTCTCTCTCTCTCTCTCTCTCTCTCTCTCTCTCTCTCTCTCTCTCTCTCTCTCTTCTCCTCTCTCTCTCCTGTTCTTTCTCTGCGTTTACCTCTTTCTCCTTCTCTCTCTGTCTTTTTCTTTTCTTTTTTTTTTTTTTCTTTTTTTTTTCGTCTTTCTGATTTTGCATTTTACTTTGTCTATGCCGTTTTTATGGTTCTTTTTTCTTTGTTTCTTTTTTTTCATCGATTTTCTCTTTTTTCCTCTATATATATATATATATATATATATATATATATATATATATATATATATATATATATATATATATATATATATATATATATATGTATATACATATTTTTTTCATAAGAAAGAAAGAAGAGAGGAGAGGGGAAGGTAAAACGCCTAAACACGAAAATACAAAGAAGAATAAAATAACAGCACAAAGCAAAACACAGGAAAACAGGATAGATCTTAAGAGGATCTAGCATGAACCTTTAGGCCGGAAGGGGAAAGAGGAGAGAGAAAGAAGAGAGATGATAAAGATGGAATGAGAGGAGAGAGCGATTGAATAGAGAATAGAGAGGTCAAAGATGAGAATAGATACATGGGCTATTTTGAGATCCCCGAGACTACTATTTGTTTGTTTTTGTTTATTGTGTTCGAACAGGTTTTGAACATGTTTGAAACGTGTTTGGAGGACATGTAGAGGCCTGCTGAGTCACTGAGAGGTGTAGCTCTTCGCATGATTTTAAAACATACAGAAAATAAAATAAATACACACGTACATCCTATACGTACACTGATACACGTACATATCCTACATATCCTCACACAATCCCTTCTTCTCCCACGCCTATTCCAATATCTTTTTTTCTGATCCCCATTCCCCCCCCCCCTCCCCCCCCGTACGGTTTTCCTCTCCCCCTTGCCCGCTCAATCCCTTCATCCTANGTGCATGTGTGTGTATGTAAGCGTGTGTGTATATATGTGCGTGTATGTGTTGTGTGTGTACTTTTTAAGTCTGATACATTCAGGCGTTGAGCAGGAAATGCACATAATATCTCTTCCTGATGAAGAATGCAAAAGTCGCATTCATCTTCACCATTCGACTGGATGGGTTGTTTACTTGCATTTCAGGTTCTGAATAACCTTCAGAAAATGTGATTTTCGTGCGTTGCCACTTTCAGAAGCTAGGTTGCCCACCTACGTTGTACTGTAAGAGGTTCATTTAGCTGAACTGATAGAATATCCAATTCAGACAATCGCACCATGATTTTCGACGCACGAGATCGCTTCTCACGTGCAATATTTACGATAACAATAATCAACATTTATTATACTTATTTGCCGGATCCCATCTGGAGGTGCCGGAGGGTGTAATACCTGGGTACTCGATTATGCAGTACTTTGCATCAGAGTGCGGTCCCAGTTCCAATGATTCTGCGTCATAAGCAGATATTGGGAGCATGCAACGTATTTTTTATTTTCTATTTGTATTTTTTCGAAACCCGTGCCATTACTAGTGTAACATAGTAATGCTATGCTATAAAAAATTTGCATGAAACAAATCCGATGAAAAAATGCGCACTTACTTTACGCGTTTTTTTTTATTTATCTTATCTTTTATTTGTTAATTTCTTTAAAGTTTAGGAACAAGAACATCACAAGCATTTTCTGTCGCTTCGCCGTTCGTTTGTGCCCCTATGCGAGTTACACCATTTACTCTATATTTTTTGACTATTTTTACCATTCTATATTTTCCTTAAAGTCAATATGCCCATTTTCAGTATAAAGTTAATAGATTTTCCAAAGAAAGAGAAAAAAATTATTTGAAAATATTACAGAATTATTGGTAAAGAAAGTTTATTCATTTTTATTTTAAGCCAAAATATGGTTGAAAAAATAGAAATCGAATTGAGGGATGGTTTCAACATCAACAGGAGTAAATGTCTTAAAATATACATTTCTGAGGTATTTGTTTTGAAAGCACTGCAGTTTTTAAAAAAATACTATTTTGTTATGAAAAATATTTTTTTTATTTTCGTTACGTAAAAAAAATACATTTATAAACATTACATTACTTCACACAGCTTGATTGTTCCCAGAAAGATCTATATTTCGCGAAATATTATGTGCTGAATTCTAATAATGGAAGCAAATTTTCAAAGGTGTTTTTGTCAACATTGAATTGGAGGAGTTGGCCCTTCCCGTTCTCGGCCCAAGATTTGTACCCTGGAATTCCCTCTCTTTTAGGGAGCGAATACATTAATCCATCTATTTCATTTGATTCACCCAGGAACCCTGAATTTTCAACATACTCACCTGTATCATGTAAGATATGCTTGCTAATTATCTGATAAGTGAATTTATGTTTCCTATGGTGTAGAAGCACATAAGGGCAAAGGTGATTTTAGATATAAGGATGATTTCACAAATATAAGCACTAAATAGCAGTGGGTCTTTTCTGTGGGTCAGGTTTATTAATCAATAACTAGAAGTACTCAGGGATCACATACCTCCGCCAAGGCAATAGGGTCACTCGAGGGGCATTTCACTTCGGAAATCCCGTACACCCTACCTGGAAATCCGAAAAATATCCGGAATTCCTTGAGAAATTCTTAGGAAATAAGGAAATCTCTAGGATATACCTAGAATCCTAAAATATCGTGAATATTCCATTCACGGCATTTTTTTCGTAATAGTGCTAAAGATGTTTTTAAAAATCGATTAAATATTCTTTTTTATAAACTTCGATAACCACCCGAGCATGTGAAGGTTAGAGTTTTTCCTTAGTTGCCATGGTGTAAGAGCCCAAATGTTGGGTCCTACAAGAGTTTGGTAGATGGAGAGCTTAGGGTTAAGGTAGACAACCAAAGTGTCTTAACTCCATTTATTGAATAGGATGTTGGAGTGCGGCTGCTCCTCGGAGCGAGGTGTTGCTCCTTGGCTCCCCGCAGGGAGTCTGCCTGATCTCCTATACACTGGTTTAAAGATCGCACCAACTCACGGTGTTATCATGTGACGAACGGTGATGAACAAGAAAACATTACAACAATACATAGCTCTTGTGGAAGAGATAGAGAACACAACATTCTAAGGTCTGATGAGACAAGAGAGAGGAATGAACAGAGGAAGCAATGGTCAGGTGTATATGCATATGTATATGCATGTGTGAAGATACATATGTGACAAACATGTAAGATTATATATATATGTATCATATAGTAAATAGATATAGATATAACTGGGTTACATATCTCCCTGGTTTTAAAATGATGGTCCCCATCATAATCAAACATCGTCTAAATTCATATAGCAAAAAACAATAGAAAAATACATAAGAAACAGCGGCACAATTGTGTAAAAGCTGTAAGCAATGCAAAAAAAAAAAAAAAAAAAAACAGGGCGCAGGTATTGTGGCAGTGTATCAGTATCAAGTAGATTCGGTTGTTATTTACTAACGGATGCCGAGAGTGCGATATTCTCGGGCTTCGGAACTGCAGTGAACGGGTGGCGCTGAAGGAATCCCATCTTCAGGCGGCGTCACAGAATGCGCTGGCGGCGCTGAGGGGAGTGCGTCCTCAGGCGGCGGTAAAGAACGTACGAGCGGCGGAGGGGCGCCTAAATACATACGAGCGGCGGGGGCGCCTAAATACATACGAGGGAACCTAGTAAGGCAACTCATAAGCTGCAAAGGAATACTTATGACTGATAAGTGAACACAGAATACAAAAAATGACATCACTGCACAATTTAATAACTCGATATTACGAATTGAACACAAAATAAGAAATATTTAAGGAAAACCTAGGTATTGATAACCGATTTCTTTTTCTATTTTTTTTTTTCTTCAAAAATTCACACGGATTTTGGGTGTGGTGCGAGGCGAGAAGCTGGGGAGATGGACTGGACGGCTGATGAAGATTTGAAGCAGTGTGTGGCAAGCAAGGTCATGGCGCGACCATTCAGCGGGATGTTGTTTCCTGCCACGTGGCTGCTATGATGAATCCGCATGGCAAGGAACTCGGCTCTGTGTAGAGATGTTTTCGGTGGTCCGCATTCTTGGTGATATGTGGTCCAGCATGGCGAGCTTAGCGTTAAGGTAGACAATCAAAGTGTCTTAACTCCATTTATTGAATAGGATGTTGGAGTGCGGCTGCTCCTCGGAGCGAGGTGTTGCTCCTTGGCTCCCCGCAGGGAGTCTGCCTGATCTCCTATACACTGGTTTAAAGATCGCACCAACTCACGGTGTTAGCATGTGACGAACGGTGATGAACAAGAAAACATTACAACAATACATAACTCTTGTGGAAGAGATAGAGAACACAACATTCTAATGTTTGGTGAGACAAGAGAGAGGAATGAACAGAGGAAGCAATGGTCAGGCGTATATGCATATGTATATGCATGTGTGAAGATACGTATGTGACAAACATGTAAGATTATATATATATATATATGTATCATATAGTCATTAGATATAGATATAGCTGGGTTACACATGGAGTTTGATTGATAAACACATCAGACGCACGATTAAATGCAGAATATCATAAAGATATACTCAATTGATTTGATAATAGCACAAATGATTTATTCCATATCAAAGTAAAAAAAAAAAAAAAAAAAAAAAAAAAAGAAGGAAAAAAAAAACAAACAGAGAAACGATTACGTAAATATCAAGCAATAAGGCGGTCCTGATAAAGCATTATCACAATAAAATATCAGCACAGAATGTAGCTGCAAGGTCAAATGAGTTTATTGTAATCCGCTGATGTCTATTCCTGCATTTTTTTCCGAAACAGGATTGCTCCTTTTAAGATGCTCAAATTTCCAAGCACTTCTTTCTATTCACAATACTGCGAGGGTATATTACAAACAGTCATCGTACTTTTCATTTATTAAAGTAAATGCAAAATTGTAAAAAGGACCAATAAGAACACGAACATAAAACACTAAAATGAACACGAACATAAAACATTCAAATCATTTTTAAAAAATTAAACAAAAGAACATAAATAAAACACACACAAAAATATAACACGTGAACGCAAGAACGCAAAACACTAAGTAAAGATTGATCACTATACGTAACTAGAAAGACACATATTTCCTGCAACCTGATTCAGAAGGTTCTCACGACGGCTTCCCTGCCTTAGGGAAGGCCCATTCCAGGGTTCATCTCCGAGAGATTGCCCTTCACCAGGGCCCAAAAACCAGTCGTTGCCAGGCCTCCGTGATTCCCTTGTATGATCGTGGCGCGAAAAGAGCATAATGAAGGATCGGAATCTCGTAACTCAAAAAAGTACATCTAAAAATAAAAATAGCAAAATGAATGTGTATAAGAAATAAAAACAACCAAAATAAATACTGAAGTAAAAAAGATAAAATAAGATATTTCTCCTTACTCTCACTTCTTAGCAAATTCCTAATACATTATTTTGGGAGTTCTTGCGTTCTTGTGCAAAGATATGAATAATAATTTAGAATTAACTTTTAATAATCATAAAAACAGAAACATAAAATAAAAAGGAAAAAGGAAAGTGTAACCGCATTTTCTTTCTTGGGAGCGTGTGTTCTATGCAGGGTGCAGAGTCTCGGGGCGAATGCAGAGCATCCTCATCCCCGGGAGATAACTTGTCTCCTAGCGCTGTTTGGCGAGATCTTTTTCAAACTTTTTTCATGCCTGCGGGAGAGTAAGAGTGAGCGGGGGTTCCAACATTTCATCGTCGTGGTCACGGCGAAAACCGTGATCCAGGACAGGCTTACTGCCAAAGGCCAAACCTCAGCTGTTCCACTGACAGTGATAGCCCTGCCTATCATTCATTTTCGCATATTTCTTATTACCTTATTTACCTGACTCTGGGCAGGCCAGTGGCTTCTAAGAATTCTTTCTTCAGAAGTAAATTTGTTCGAAATACACTTGACAAACAAATCAAGAAGACATGTTGCATATACTTTTCATTTCTATATTATTGCAATATTGTGTTAAATAAAAATAAATCAAACCTTATTCATCAAAACCTTTTCATTTACCATAGTTTTCATTGAAATTTATCTTTTGCTTTGAGATCCCCTCAAGGAATTCGACAATGGCACAAACAAGTGTGTTCCCAAATCTATGGTCAGCATTGGTTGAGTCAAGGAACAGTCGCAAACTCTTCTTGGGAACTCTCCTTCCCTTGTTGTCTAAACATGTAGCCCTCTTGAAAGTAGAAAGGACTCGGTCCAAGAACTCTGAAGATTCCCAGTCCTCGCGGGGCGTTTGGGAAACCTCCTCGAGGAAGAGGGAGATGAGGAAGCGGAATCGCAGTGTAGACAGATGAACGCTAAAGGAGGGTTTGGAGCAAACGTGTTTTCTGCTGTTCCCTTGAGGGAGCCACCAGCATGAGTACAGTACGTTGGTAATGAATTT